AGAGAGAAATGCAGATGGCAAAGCCACTGCACCGAGAGTAAAGTGACAGAGATGCTCATTGCGCCGTGGACTGTGAGATTTCAGGGGTAACACACGCTTTAGGAGAGGGAGAGCAGGGGCACTGCGTGGGGGGCTGTGACAGGGCGATTCCCACCCGATGGATTCCTTGCAGATCCGGTCATTTATTCACTGCCTGCCGCTCCCTGCCGTGCGAGTGTCCATGAGCAGACTCACTTCCCCTGCTTCCTTGGAAGCTGTTTGTCATGCTGCTGGTGATTAATTTGTGCAGTGGGGATGGCACCTGAGCAGCTGGTGAGAGCGGGAGCTCTGTGGAGGGTGGGCCTGGCCGTGGTGCTCCCAGTGCTCTGCTCAAGCCACGCGCTGGCTGCTCACGCCCCGGTGCAGGGAGCAGGATTGCCAACACCTAATCCTGACTGTGCCCATCCCATTATTCTTTCAGTGTGTGTTTTCCTAAGCCCTGATAAGGCAATCTTTATTTGTGCTGGTAAACCTCTCCACCATCACAGCAGTCAGTGCCCCTCAGCCATGGCGATGCCCCCGGCAGAGCCTCCACTGTCCTGGGCACCCCACAGGGCAGGGTGACAATGCTTGGTGCCACACGCCCCTGGCTGCCAGCCTCTCGCAGAAATTTGATGCTCAGAAAGCCCCCTCAGTGTTCCCTTTTGTATTTATTGACTTGTCAGGTCCCTGGAGCACTGGCAGCAGGGACCTGGCACAGCGTCTGCCGGGCAGCAGCGTGACAGGGAGGTGACAATGACGCCCTCCTTCTAAACCTTTCCTGCTTTTCGCTTCTCTCTCTCTTGTTTCATCTCTCCCTCTCAGAAAAGCCATTTAAATGTAATTCCATTCTTAAACCCTCTCCCTCATGCATGCCTAATGAACAGCAGGCAGAGGTGCCGGAAACAGGCCCGAGTAGGATCCAATCTCGCAGAGTGTCGACAAGTCATTTGGAAGGCGCCCTGGGAGCGCGCCCAGTTTTATTGCAGTGTAATTAGAAATAAAATCTTGTTGCGGGAGGAGAATGAGAGATGGGTGTTAATCCTGTAACGGGAGGAGATGGAGCCGTGCTTATAAAGGAGATTAAGGAGGGGAGGCAGAAAGCCCGTCATGACTTCCCGATTTCCTCCCCTCCTTTGCTGTTCCCCCTGCTCTGGCTCCACAGCCTCCAGCAGCAGCCAGCAGGTCCTTTCCTCAGGAGAAGGGCCACTGCTCCTGGAGGAGGAGGAGGAGAGAGGGAGTCCCTTGGTGCAAAGGCCGAGCTACTTGTTCTGCTGGCGCTGGTCACGTTACAGGTGCCCATGACTTCCAGGTGGGAATCTTTGGCTGGGTACACAGCAGTGCCAACTCAGCTCTGCAGGAGAGCTGTGCTGCTTTTGGAAGGGCTGGGAGTGGCGACAGCCATACACCTCCCCTGGGATCCCCACGGCAGGCAAGCACGTAAATAAATCTGTCAGATATCGTGCGCTTCATATGGAATTTGTACTGGGCTCGAGTCGCGGCTCCTCTTTAACATCTCTGGGAGGGAGGGATGGATGGAGCTTTAATCTTGGTTCCTGGTCCAGGGCCCCTCTGCTCTCTGCATTTGCCGTGGCATGAGCTGGGCTCAGCCTGCTGAGATGAAAGGCAGCTCTGGTGCGTGGCCATCGACACCAGCCCGCCCCTCTGCCCCGTGTCCCCTGCCCAGCTGGGTGCTGCACCCCAGAGCTCAGGAGGTGGTGAGCGGTGCCGTGCCGCGTTGTGCCACAAAATGGGCAGGAGTTTCCATCCTGGTTATGTTTTCTGTGGATGTTCCTTGTCCCCAGGCGAGCTCCATGCCGGGCAAATGGCATCCTGGAACAGCAGCCGCAGCAGGAAAGTGCCGCTATGGCAGCGGTGGAAAATTACAGGCTTTGCTCTTTGGGGCTTCCCCCTCCGTGCCTTCCCCCCGGGAGGAGTTTGTCACTTTAAACGTGGCCAGAAATAGCACCAAGCAGTTATTGGATTTGTCCGGGATGCCTTGGGATGCACATGCTCCGAGTATGGCTAATTCATAAACGCTGGCACCTATTGATTCTCCGGCAGCACCAAGGGAAAGTTATCTCATTAGTCTTATGAACTATAAAACGTGCTCCCTCCTGAAGCCCTGACCCTGTTGTTTTGATAAATCTATATTGGATAGAGCAGGAGCTGGTAACCTGCATCGACTGCAATCTTTCTCTCGGAATTGGAAGGCCCTTGGGAATGATGCTGGGGTTTCACGGCCATCACTGGCAGCTGGTTGCAGGAGAGGAGTTTGGTAACAGCAAATGTGTGTCTCTGTGTGTGCGTACTCAGCGAGACCCTCCTGATGTTCACCATGCAGGAGAGCCTCCTCTCAACCTGGTGCCTTTCCCCAGGTGAGGGGAGAGCTCCTGGGAATTTAGGTGGAATTTAGCTCCTGGTGGGCTCTTGGCTGCATTTGAGCCGAGGGCTTTGGTGGTGGCTTTGGTGAGGCAGCTCCAAAGGCAGCAGCTCAAGTCTGGCTGGAAGAGTTATTAGAGGCACATCGCTCCAGACTGGCCACGGATGTACTTAATCCTCTGCTTCCCATAAAGCTTTTCCACCTCCTGGCAGGCAGAAAGATCTGATTTTATTCGCCGACCTTCGGCGTTAATCTCAGTAGCACACTCAGCAATAAGTCACTCCGGTGAGGTCTGTCGGAGCCGCTCACATCAATTACTGCCCCGCATCTCCCCTGAACCAGCACAACGTTCCTCGACGGAGTTACTTGTCCCTTCTCAGGAAAAAAAACCCAAAGGAAGCTGTGCTGTCAGGTTGGGTAGATCTTACACGGAACGTAATGGCATCACCACAGCCATGGCTTGTGAGGGGCAGATGCCTCCCGTGACTCCATGGTGGGGGTGTGGGTACTCAACTTGCAGGTTTTCAGCCCGTTCCTGTCTCTGGGCTGGGTGTTATGGCTCAAACTCCATCTTGGAGCCTTGATCTTGGGCACCAGGCTTTGTTCCCAGGCTGGAGCACGGCAGCCCAGGGCTGTGGTTACCCATGCACGGCCGCATGTGGGGGTGTGGGTTGGGGCTGCCAGCACTTTGCAAAATACAGCCCCGTTACCATGGAAACCGGCTCCCCCATCTCAAATTCCAGTGCAGCCAATGCTCTTTGCTTACTGGTTTGATGGGAGATGAAAAATTAATGTGTGATTTGCATGTTATTTCAGTGCTGTGGGACCACTCCCCCTGCCCTTCCACAGGGTCTGTACGGATCCCTCGGCTCCGGCTGCCAGCGGAGCGTGAAGCTTGTGCCGCCGAGCATCTGGTCCCAGTTGCATCCTGGTGTTGCCATGCCATAGCGTGGAGGCAAAACCATGCCTGAGGTTTTGGCTGGGGAGCCCCTGATCTCTCCCAGCAGGAATGGAGACACAGAGGTGTTGCTGGAGGTGTAGGGATGGCCCCCCTGCGTCCCATGGGACTGCCTACTCTGCTTCCAGGGAGGATCAGCACAGGGTACCTCTGTTAGCCACTGTTGGCTGGCATTATTATTAATTTCTTTGCTGTTTGAAGCCCCTCATGCTCTTGTATCAAGCAATTAAAGTCAAACCTGCACATCTGGCTAAACCACAGCTAGAATGGGTAGTGCCAGCACAGCCAGCTCTGTGCCAGGGACACAGTCTGGTTCCCTGGGTGAAGATCCCTGTTTTCTGCTGGTCTGTCACCTGCAGCACCTGTGGGATTGGGCATGGGGTCCTGCCCCAGGATGGGGGAACCAGACTGCTCTGGGAGCATCTGCCTCTTGTCCTCTATCTCACCCATGTTTATTCTGCTCTTATGAGTTTGACCACTATGCTCTTCTGGCTTAATTGAGAATATCTGGGTGCTTTGAAAAGGTGCTGGAAGAAAAACCAGCTCTTTGGCCTCATTGGCTAGATCCTGGCTTACCAGGCATTGTGCAGGACTTGAGGGAGTCATTTGCAGCCATTGCTGATTTAAAGGCTGGGTTTAAAGGTTTCCACTCGGCACATTCAGCTCCACTAAATTACCTTCTGCATCTCTGCAATCACGGGGTTTGGTAGGGGGTGGTTTGGCTGGCAGCACGGTGCAACCAAGCAGACAGAGCACTTCATCCCACCTGCGGCTGGTGCTGGAATAAACCCCAAAGCCCCGCGGAACCTGGGGTGAAAGCCTTGCTGTCACGGCGGGACAGGGCAAAAGGCTTTCCAGGTGGGCAGGAAGCTTCTCTCCAGAGCCTCGGCTTACCCTGCACCCCATGTAGCCGCTACACAGGTCTTTCTATTCGTGTTAATTACTGTTATTATTCATGATGAATTGTAGTGGTCATGAGCCAGCCAAAGACTCCTTTCCACAGGCGCCAGGCTCCAAAATCTGCTGGCTGGAGGGGGCTGCTCCAGCAGCGCTGCCAGGGCCGTGCTGCCCTGCCTGCTCTCCCACCACCCTCCTCCCGGGGCTCAAACATCAGCTCGAGCCCATATTTGTTTTCACATGCTTCTAAGTAAGTTAAGCTAATTATTAACTCAGCGGGACGGATTCACTTTTAATTGCGGCGTTGCTATGGAGCGCGTGGCACCGCGGCGGAGCAGCGTGTGCGCAGCAGCGTGTGCCAGAGCATCGTGCCACACGCTCTCCTCACCCTCTGCAGCCACGGCGTGGCTGAATCCAAGCCCTGGGAGTGCTTGGAGTGTGTAAGGACACTCCAAGCCCACCTTTACACCTGGGCAGGTGTGTGTGCCCAGGACGAGTGATGTGCCCACAAACACAGGGGCTGCTGTTGCACACGTGAGGCTCACCCAACTTCACCAACCTGCCTGAAACTTCAGCCAGAGCTGCACCCCAGTGTGGCAGAGGTGCAGGGAGGTGGAGGAAGGTCCCTCTTTCCCTGCCGTGGCTCTGGTGCCTGCCTGGAGTGCAGGGGCTGTGCCTGACCCGGGTTCTCAGCCCGCGGTCAGGGCTGGCTCGCTCACTCTTCCCCTCCCTTTGTGTCTCCAGAAAATAGGTTTTTTATTACTTCTTATGGAGGTTTGTACATATCGGACGTGCAGAAGGAAGATGCCTTGTCCACCTACAGGTGTATCACCAAGCACAAGTACAGCGGGGAGACTCGGCAGAGCAACGGAGCCCGGCTCTCCGTCTCAGGTGAGCACGTGGTGCTGACAATGTGGGCAAGAGGGGAGGATCCTGTGCCCGGGAGGGGGTCCTGTGCCCAGGAGGGCGTCCAGCCCTGCCTGAAGCCTGCTCCCCTGCCTGCCTACAGCAGTGCCATCCTCCCGAGACGCGCAGGGAGCAATGGCACTGCCGCCTCGGGTCCCTGCAGCGAGGGGACATCCCAATGGGGGGGATGCGAGGTCCGGTCGGGGCCGCACGGGGGGTTCACGCTGCCTCGCCCGTGCCCCCCGGCCGCAGCCCCGCCGTGCTGGGCGGCGGCAGCGCCGCGTCACCGCGGGCGCGGGGCGATGGGGCGCGAGGGGATGCGCTGTGACAGCCCGCGATGTGAGCAGCCTGACGCGATGTGACGAACATGCAAGCGATACTGCGGCGGAGGCAGTGCAGTCCAGAGTGCCGGGTGTCTCGGGGCGCTCCCGGCTCCGCTCACTGCCCAAATTACTCCGCTCGGGAGGGAGGGAGTTCGCCCGACTCTCAGCCGCGCTCCCGCACTCTGCCATGTGCTTTTTCCATCCTCGGGTGCACAGACGGCAGCTCCCGCACCAGCTCCTTGAATTAACCCCTCAGCTGATAGGGAAGGGGTCTGGGATGTCCGGGTCCTTGCCTCTTAGAGACCCAAGGGCCCTGTGTCTCATCTATTCCAGTCCTGCCACGCATCCCAGCAGTGCATGGGCATCGCTGGGTGTGTCATCCCCAGTCCGTGCTCTTCGATCTTGCCCGGTCCCCTCCTGGTCGCTGTCATTATTTACACGTCACGGCGTTTTACTTCTGCTTGGGAGTAATGAAAGAGGTTTCTTTCCCCTGGAATTTAATTTCACGCCTGAGACTTAGTGATTAATTTTCTCCTTTCCCAGCTGCCTGATGGGCCCTTTTGCTTGTAAATTTTGAAATGTGCCACAGAATTTGTGTATTTTGCACCAATTAGGTGTCACCTTGAGTAATTCCTCTGGTGCTGAGTTTATTCCTCCCATCAGCTAGTAAGATGTGTTTTCCCTCCCACCTCTCCCACAAACCTGTTGTCCTGGCTGCCGAAGGCTGTGCTGGACAAGTGGGACAGGGCATCCCACTCTCAGTGAGGATGTGGCTGGCATCCTGCACTCCTGCCAGCTCATGGGGATGGGGAGAGCCAACCTCTCAGGGGTGATGCTGATAGGGCACAATGCTACCAGTGTCACTGTGGCAGAGGGGAGACACCTCTGCTCCTCTTCGCTGGGTGAGCCCAATTCCTCTCCGATCCCAGACCCGGCAGAGTCCATCCCCACGATGCTAGACAGCTTCCAGTCCAGGGAGGTGAAGGCAGGCCGGCTGGTGGAGCTGCCCTGCATCGCCTCGGGCTACCCCAACCCGGCCGTGCGGTGGATCAAGGACGGGCGGCCGCTCCCCGCCGACAGCCGCTGGACCAAGCGCATCACGGGCCTGACCATCAGCGACCTGCGCGTGGAGGACAGCGGGACCTACATCTGCGAGGTGACCAACACCTTCGGCTCCGCAGAGGTCACGGGGACCCTCACGGTCATAGGTGAGAGCGGGTGGGGAGGAGCGGGGCGTGGGGGGCTTGGTCCTGCTGCCTTCTGAAACGTAAACTCTTTGTCAATTCGAAGCCTTAAAGGTTTTATGCAGCTGTGTAAATAACAAGCTTTGTATTTTGGTGTGGTGTGTCGCGTGCTGGATGCCAGTGTCTTGCACGTGTCCAACATGTTGGGTGACTCTGTGCTTTGCTTTGTTGATTTACATAAAATTTATGTTGATTTACATAAAATAAGCTCTAGCCAAACAGTAAATACCATCTGGGCAGGCCAAGTATTTATCACGTGCTGTTTTCCCGGGGGTTCCTCCTGTCACCAGGATCCTGGTAGTACCAGAGCCACTGTGCCTGCCTTACCTGGAGCAGCACTGGTGAGCACAGGATGTCCCCAGCTCAGCATTGTCCCCATCACACTGACCACAGCTGCTTCTAGCCATCCTGCCACCTCCCCAGAGTACCCCTGCTGGGTGCCTGGGGCTCATGTTAAAAGCAGGGGCTGTCAGCAGCGAGGATGGTGGCAGGGCCACCTGCCTTATTGTGCAGTGACATTTTACGCGTAGCCGGGCTGGCGCTTCCAGGGCAGGGAAAGCCGGGAGAGCACAGTAGGGATGAGCTGCCCCCCGCAGCACTGCCCGGCACTGCCAATGCCTCACTACTCTCCCTCTCTCACAGACCCTCTGCGTGTGACCCTCACACCAAAGAAGCTCAAAACAGGCATCGGCAGCACCGTCATCCTCTCTTGTGCCCTCAGCGGGTCCCCCGAGTACGTCATCCGCTGGTACCGCAACACGGACCTGGTGGCGGTGGATGACTACATCTCCATCCGGGGCATCAGCAACGAGACCCTCCTCATCACGGCCGCCCAGAAGAGCCACTCCGGGGCCTACCAGTGCTTCGCCACCCGCAAGTCCCAGACGGCACAGGACTTCTCCATCATCACGCTGGAGGGTGAGCTGACTCCCCAGGGGTGGGGGCTTTTTCCTCTGCCCCTCTCTGAGGGGACACTGGATCCTTTGTGTGGGTCTGGGGGGGCAGCAAGACCCGTTGGGGTAGGGGTCCTGGGGCCAGGCTGCTCCCAGCCTGCTCGGTGGGCTCTGTGTGCTGTCAGCATGACCAGGACAGGGAAGGACCAAAACAAATGTTGCCATCCCCGATCCCTGGGCCGAGGCACCTCCATTCACCAGACAACCCTCCCTGATCCAGCGTGTTTGGATAAGGGATGCGCTGTGCCAAGGGAGCTGTCCCCTCGAGCCAGTGTCTGTATCAACCAGCACGTCCCCTCACTCCTCTCAGCATCTCTGTGACAGGGATGCTGGCGTGTCACTGGCTGGGCTCCCCTCCTGGCCAAGCCGAGGCTCCCGCTCCAGGGGGGAGCTCAACACCGTCCCGTCAGTGGGTGACTGCTGCTGCCTGTGGCTGCCGCTCGCTGACCCCCATCCCGCTGGGTGCCCCCCAGATGGGACCCCCCGCATCGTCTCCTCCTTCAGCGAGAAGGTGGTCAACCCCGGGGAGCAGTTCTCCCTGATGTGTGCCGCCAAGGGGGCCCCGCCGCCGACCGTCACCTGGGCGCTGGACGACGAGCCCATCCCGCGGGACAGCGGGCACCGCTCCAACCAGTACACCATGTCGGACGGCACCACCGTGAGCCACATGAACGTGACCAGCCCGCAGATCAAGGACGGCGGCGTGTACCGGTGCACCGCGCGGAACTCGGTGGGCAGCGCCGAATACCAAGCGCGAATAAACGTAAGAGGTGCCTGTCTACTTTTAAATATCAGAATAGGACTTTTACTGGGCTTTTGGTTTTGTTCTGTTCCCCAACTGGTCGTTCCTTGTCACCTCTCCCTCCTCTTCCCAGCCATGTGGGTCTCCCTGGCTACCTCAACCTCATGCCCTGAACTACCCCCCTCCTGCCCTGCTCGCTCGCACACCTGCCCTTGGGGTTGAGCCTCTCCGATGCTTAAAGCAGGGAGTTTACCAAAGTGGAAAGCAATTCCAGAGTCTTGAAGAGCTGGAGCTTGAATTTGGAGGGGCCAAAGTGCAGCGCTCTCCCCGTTGGGGTTCACTCTCACCCCCCCAGACCCCTGCCTTGAGGTCTGCACAGGGTAGGCAGACACCTCCCAAGGGACCCCATGCACAGAGAAGGTGGTGATGGGCACAGAAGTGTCCCAGGCCCCCCGTGCTCTCCCAGCCATCCCCCATTCCCAAGAGGAGCCCGACTCCCTGGCAGCCACCGCGCCCGCCGGCACAGGGATCTCCATGACAAACGATGATGAGGCAGCACGTGAAATCGTGGAAAATGAGCTTTGATTTGTCATGTCTGTATTTTCTTTGTCTGCTAAAAGCCATGGCCGCGTTAATCACCGTGTTATTACGGCTGGAGCGTGTTGCTCGGTGCGTTCCGGGGAGCGCTCTCAGGCACGGGGTATGGTGTAAACCCCTGCCCATTAATAATCCCCAATTAAAGCTCCCGGGCTTACAGGTGGGAGCGAGACAAGATAAGGGAACATTTATTTGTCTGCTGAGAACAAGGGTTGAAGGGCTGTGTTTGTCTGTGTCTCAGGTTTGAAATGGATCTAGTGGCTTTTTGGCTGGGATCCCAGGAGAGTCGGAATTTTGCTGCTGTTTACTGCTGAATTTGGAGCAAGTTCATCCCTCAGCCGTGAGAAGCCAGAGCAGCGTTTTCAATGTGGATATTCCCTTGTCTCCCTTTCTTCCCCTCTCTCAGCTCTTGATGGGCTGTCACTAGATAAGATTCAGGTTTCTTTTTCCCTGGCACGGAGCATGTCCCTCAGACAGGCCCGAGACATGGTTACAGAGTGAGATGCTAATTCCTTTTTTCCTGCTCCTTCCCTTAATATGTGGTAGAATGAGAAACACCGTCCATCAGCTGATCCTGAGTGTCTGTTAAGCTGTTATCCTGCTACGCCCTCAGGACGAGGAGTCAAGACAGGGTTAATCTTTTGATTACTTTGCTATTTTATGCAGCGGCTGGGAGAACAATGTAATTATCGATGCATGAAACCTCTCGTTTACAGGCTCACCTGCGGCATTCTCGCAGTCCTTAGGCAGCACCAGAGCCAGCCAAAAACTGGTGGCTGTCAGGCTTTTCAGTGATACCCAGGTTGGCAGTGAGGGGCTCAGAAAGGTGGGGTTTAGGGGAGGTGAAGTACGTGTGCCAGTGGAAGTCAGGTTCCCATAGCAGCTCTTGCCAAGGGTGTTTGGCACAATGCAGGCAGCTTCCTTCTGGGAGAGGCAGAGAGGGGCTGTGATGGTGGGGGAGTGCTCCCCATCTCTCCCACAGCTCCCATGGCTGAGGGTGCTGCCAGAGGAGCCAGGTGGAAGTGTGCTTGCTGGGTGGCCACGGTGCCCATTGCAGAAACACACCGCACTTCAGACACCATCCAGCCTCCTCCAATGGGCAGTGGTGGTGTGTGCAAGCTCAGCTTCCCCAGCACTAGGGTTGTACCTGCGAAACTGGGGTGGGATCTGCTGTTTGAGTTGAGGCTGTGACCCAGGAGCACATCCCTGTTTGCAGGTGTGTGTGAGTAGCTGTAGCTGGAGGTTGCAGCCGATGAGCGGCTTTCCCCACACGCGCTGAGAGGAGCCCGTGCCGGCTCCTCACCCGAACCAGGCTGGCTCCCAAAGCTCTGGTTACCTCCTCTGCCTGTGAAGCTCGCTCCAAAATAGCAGCAGATCTGCATGCAAGCAAACCGCCCTTCGGAATTAACCTAGCCTGCCTCTTCCTTCCTCCCGAATATGTAGGTCCCCCGAGCATCCGAGCCATGAAGAACATAACAGCGGTAGCGGGTAGGGACACTTTCATCAACTGCAGGGTGATCGGGTACCCCTATTACTCCATCAAGTGGTACAAGGACTCTTTGCTGCTGCCCGATAACCACCGCCAAGTGGTCTTTGAGAACGGGACTCTGAAGCTGATGGACGTCCAGAAAGGCATGGATGAAGGAGAGTACCTGTGCAGCGTGCTGATCCAGCCCCAGCTCTCCATCAGCCAGAGCGTCCACGTCACCGTCAAAGGTAAGCAGCTGGACAGGCTTTCCCTGGGTGGGGTGGAGAACTCGTCCAGGTCGCATTGGGGATGTCCCTGCAGTGGGATGGAGGCAGAGGAGCATCACACAGGGAACTCCACGGCTAGGTGGTGGCTGTGCTTCGTAGTCACTGGGGATGGGAGCCCTCAGGAAATGGCTCAGCTCCTGCCAGAGTGGCTACCTGGTCCTGCCTGCTCTCTGGCAGCTGCCCCGAGCCACACCGTATCCATTTCCCCTTACAAGTGATGGAGCAAGGATTTATGGTGTAAACATAACGTATTAAAACACCTAACCTTTGCTTGGATCACCTTCACCGATGTTTTTCTGTGTGTGCTAGCTTTTAAAAAAATAATACTCTCGGTCTTCCGAGCGCACAGAACATCTTAAAAGCTTCTCCAGGCCATCAATTATTCAGCCCCATTGAGGGAGCTATCAGTCCTAATGAATTGAGCCGGATGCATTCCCTCCCAGTGACTCGCTGAGATTGCGCTGGGAGCGCGCGGTGCTCCCGTATCTCCGTCCTCAGAGTTGTCGGGTCGTCTCTGCCCGTCGCCAGCTCGGTGTTTGCAGTAAATCATTTAGACAAACACGGCAGCACTGGGGACAGAGCAGGCCAATTGTTGTCCTCTCTCTCGCCCAGTGGGGCATCCGTGGACTGGATTTACTCTGATCCCGCTCCCTCCTCTCCCAGCCACCATTTTCTTATTAGGAATCAGGTTAGCGAGGGAGTGCATCAAGCTGATTAGAAATGCTGCCACTTGATTAGCTAACGCTCCTCTCCAAGGCTTTCCAAAGGGAAGGGCAGGCTGTGGATAACCTGTCTAAGGGCAGTGTGAGGAGGTCTTCTTGCCCCTTGGGTCTGCAGGGCATGGCCAGCCCTGCTTTCCTCACCTTATTTAAATCCCTGTCTATGTGGAGCCTCAGGGCTTGAAAAGAGGCCAGAGATGCTGGTCTTGTCTTGGGACAACTGGGGCGGGCAAGGCTGGTGTGGGGAGAGCATCTCGGGATGTGTGTGCACAGCCCAATAACGGGATTCGCTGGGAGGGGCCGTCGGAGGGTGCAGGATGCTCAAGTTCAGCTGAGGATCTGTGTATTCTGGGAAGCAGCCGCTAGTGAACCCTTCCCAATCTGGATTTCCTGCCTCACTTGGTGGTTGGTGATGGGCTGAGGAAGGTGGGCGGGTGGCAGCACGGTGAGGGCCAGTGGCACACTGCTCATCCAGGGCCAGACATCTTCACTCTGGCTGCTGGAGATTTACACCCAGCCCTGCTGGCTGGATTCCTCATTTCCTCCAGCTGTGGCATAAAAGGCCTGTGGAAAAGACTAGCAAAGCCCTAGAAGACAGTCAGGGAGTGAATAAACATAACTGCATAGAGTGAGGACTGTGGGATGCTGTGGAACGCCGTAAAGCTTTTATGGCTACAAGTGCCTGGCGACCACATGAAGTGCCACCAGTGAGTTATGCAGGTCCTTCTGAGCACACAGCAATAAAAGCTTTATAAGTCCCTCTGGCACCACTCCCTGTGAGAATGGGGACGTGCAGGCAGCCCCCAGCCCTGCTTGTGAGGCATTGCCCCCATCTCTTGCTGAGGAAGCTCCTGCCCAGGTGTAGCTGCTGCTGCTTCTCTGGGGGGCCCCAGGGCCCCCAGGTTCCAGCTTCAAACCTCCCTGCTCCACAGGGCTTTTTAGCTCGGGGGTGCTGCTGGGACCTCTCCCCTGTGCTTCCCCAGCAGCACAATCCAGCATCCAGCCTCCTCCAAGGTGCCCTCACAGCTCCTTCCTCCTGCAGACGTCTTTGAAGGTTTTAATTAATCCCGTGTGGGTTCGGTGCTGTCCTGGGGCTCTCGCACGGCTCTGCTCGGGTGGCTGAGGTGATTTGGGGAGCGCGGTGCTGACACCAGCCCTGCAGCTGGCAGTGCCAGCACTGTGGGGTGATGCTTCACCTCATGGGAAGGCAGAGGCTGTTTGCTGGGGTCCCCTCTGGACCTGACCTGAGCTGCTGGGATGGGCTCTGTGGTGGCACTGTGGGCAGGGAGACCCTGGCACGGTGCTCTGGGCTGTGGCAACCTCCTGCGGCAGCCACATGAGAGCCTGGAAGCCCTGGAGAAAGGACAGTCACAGTGGGAAGCAATCTGGGAAGGAAAGGAGAGTTGTGAGTTCCGTTTGTGGAAAGCTGGAGCAGGGAGAGCTTGGTCTGAGGGAGCCTGTCCTTTTCCTGGTGCTCAGCAGCAACCAGAAGGGCACATTCGGAGAGGCACGGATCCACAAGCCCATCCCTGCTCTGCAATAGACTGCAGTGCATTCCCAATTAATTATTCATTAATTATGGAAAACAGGCAGCACTGGCTCCATGGCTCCGGCAGCTCGAGCCACGTCTCTGTAGCTGGTGAAGGGGCAGGCAGGCCCTGACTGTACCTGCCTGTACCTGCCTGCCTGGTGGCAGCAGCTCACACCTGGGGAACAGTGACAACCCCTGCTTGCCCCCTGCTCAGGGACCAGGCAGTGGTGCTGAGGCTGGGCACGGTGGGGGAGGTGGGAGCCCAGGGGTGTGCAGGGGGTACAGGGAGCTGCCCCCGTGCCTCGACGAGAGGGCAGCTCCCTTCTGCCAAAGGGACAATTGGCAGCCTGCTAATTTAATTATGGAGACTGCGGAAAGAGGAGCTCGTCTACCAGGTGCTGAGCCTTGTTAAGCTAATTGTCTCCCTCTCTCCACTTTCTTCCCCCTCCCACATTGCCAGAGATGCTGCGGTTGCCTAATTAAGTTATCAGAAAGATAATGGCTGGTTCTGAATCCGGTGCCTTTAAGAAAAGCATCCATCTAATAATGGCTTTTCTGCGAGCAGATAAATGCTGAGGTGGAATTTCGGTTGGCACGTGCTGGGGGCGGCCAGGGCTTTCCCCATTACAGGGTCTGCTCTGCTCTGGAGGCTGGTGTTTCTCCATCCTGCTCTCAGCAGGGTGACCCTGCCAGGTGGGAGAAGTATTCCTGCTGTTCTGTGCTCAGCAGCACCTTCTGCTCTCCCCTGGCCGTGTTCCTGGTGGAATCAAAAGCCTACCTTAGTTTCTGGGCAGCTACTTCTCCCGGGACAGCAGCTCCCGGCTTTCCTGGGATGGGCTCTCCAGCATTTTCTGCCTCTCCCCTCAACAGTCCCTCCACTGATCCAGCCCTTCGAGTTCCCACCAGCCTCCATCGGGCAACTCCTCTACATCCCCTGCGTGGTCTCCTCTGGGGACATGCCCATCCACATCACCTGGAGGAAGGACGGGCACGTCATCCTCTCCGGCTCCGGAGTCACCATCGAGAGCAAGGAGTTCATGAGCTCCCTGCAGATCTCCAGCGTCTCCCTCAAGCACAACGGCAACTACACCTGCATCGCCAGCAACGACGCGGCCACCGTCAGCCGGGAGCGGCAGCTCATCGTGCGGGGTGAGCACCACGGGACCACCCCGCTGGGCTCAGGAGGGTGGGCAGCGAGCGAGGGAAGCACAGTGGGGAGCAGGGAGAAGCTGGGAGGCTGCTCTGTAGGTGCAGAAGCGGGTGGGAGGGTGAGGAGCGGAGTTAAGCCCCACGTGCAGGAGGGAGCTATAGGGATCTGATGGGGGTTTTGCTACAGTGACCATCTTTTCCTCTCAAATTCCTCAGTGCCTCCTCGTTTTGTGGTCCAACCCAACAACCAAGATGGCATTTATGGTAAAGCCGGGGTGCTGAACTGCTCTGTTGATGGATACCCCCCTCCAAAAGTCATGTGGAAACACGCTAAAGGTAGGGATGGGTCACGTGGCAGTGTGTAGGGACATTGGGGTGGGCTGGGGAGAGTCCCTTTGGCATGGCCACCCCAGCTCTGAGCCTCACAAGCGCTCCTCTGCCTCAGCTGAGCTCTGTGTCTCTGTGTCCTCTCTTAGGCAGTGGCAACCCCCAGCAGTACCACCCCATCCCCCTCACGGGCCGCATCCAGATCCTGCCCAACAGCTCCCTGCTCATCCGCCACGTGCTGGAGGAGGACATTGGCTACTACCTGTGCCAGGCCAGCAACGGCGTGGGCACAGACATCAGCAAGTCCATGTTTCTCACCGTCAAGAGTAAGTACCTGGGGCCGTGCCGCGGTGGTGGTGGGGGTGGCTGTGGCTGTGGGACCTGTGGTGGCCAGCAGAGCCTGCTCTGGTGTAGCCCCCTCCTCCTTTCCGAGGGTTCCTGCTGCACCAACCGCGCTCTGGCCTTGGCTCCGCACAACCCCGTGATCGATGCGCAGGGCACGGGAGGGCATTGATTCCTCCCCTCCAGGGACCCGCTTCCCTTTTGGTATTAAACACACTTTGTCTTTAATAAAACCAAGCAATCAATCTACATCAGACAGGAGGAAAGGAAATAGCTGGGCTACTTTGACAGGGATGGGCCGGGAAGTGTTGTTAGACACCGTGTTTGAACCGCGTGTGTTATTGGATTGCTCTCCCGTTGCTACCAGCAGAATGGATAATTGCCAGCTCTGTGTTAGTTAGTGGTTGTTGCTGCCGTGAGCATTCCAGCCTCCAAAAGGAGGTGGTGGAGGGCATCTGGCCCTGTCATGCTTTCTCCTGTATGTCTCTGAGAGAGGCTGGGGTCGGGGCTGGGCTCAGCAGGGCTAAGCTCTGCCCTGCCCACCCCAGGGGGGCTGAAGCAGTAAGTCCTCTGGCCGCTGGCCCCTTGCCAGAGTGGATGGAGGCTGCAGGTGGAGCTGTGGGAGCCACCACCACCCTGGCTGTCCCCTGGGCGGGGTGTTTTGGGTAGAGGGGATGTGTAGCCCTCTCTGGGCCCCAGCGTGTCCTGGCTGAGGTCTCTGGGATGAGATAAGGAGAAAGTGA